GGCAAACTGCGGCTCGTGAGCCACATGCGGCTCTTTGGCCCCTTTAGTGTGGCTCTTCCTAAGCCTTAGGAGTACCCTAATTAAGTTAATAACAATGTACCTACCTATATAGTTTAAGTTTAAAAAATTTGGCTCTCAAAAGAAATTTCAATCATTGTACTGTTGATATTTGGCTCTGTTGACTAATGAGTTTGCCGACCACTGACCTAGTAGGCTTCATGAAGGCATTAAATTCCAGAGGTTCTGGAATTTTCCTGGAAGGATTTCATAACCAAATCAAGCTTGTTAGAATATTAATTATTGCTGCTACTACTGCCGTTATACTGGTAGAAATTCCTGATTTAAAGTCAGTTTGATGCTTTGCTACTGTATTTCAACCTCTATCTTTTACTTTCTCTTTCTCATACAGACTGGCAACCTTTAACTATTTTGAGTTAATGGTAAAATATGTGCTGAGTACTAGCCAGTCTTTTCAGCGTTCTCATTTAAGTGTGGTAGGTGATATGCACATTCCCTACGCAAGCATTTTTCTTCTTATTATTAAATAAACCCATTGTCCCATAAAGTGCTCCTTAAAAGAAAATGCGCCTTTAGTTTCACACCTCCTTTCTTCATTCCACAGCATTCAGCAAACATTTGGGCCCCTGCTCTGAGCCAAGCTCACTGCTAGAGATGAAAGACTACACCTGCCTTGAGGGACTGTGCGTAGGGACAGGGAGACAGCCAGACCCCTCCTTCTGCACCCACATTCTTCTTCCCACTGAAGAATCTGATGTTGTGGTCTGAGTGGTGGCCTGGGCTTCGGGGGCACTCAGGTATTAAAGGCAGGCTTTTTTTTCTGTGGACTGATGAATGAAATCGAGAAGAACCATTAGGGTCTGAAGCTCCAGACTCGAACAACCTCACATTGACCTGGAAACAGAGCAGTGGTGATTGCCATCTGCTGACACACCACCCAGACCGCCCAGGGACTGAAGCAGTGTTCTAGGCCGGCTGGGCCTCCCACCCGCAGAGCCCGGAAAATATCCCTGATTAGAGCAATTAGAGCGACTCCCTGAGCCGGTTCAGAATTTGCTTAATCGCACTCACTTCACTGAACTATGGTTTTGGCTTCGGGGGTTTTAGGGAAAGAAAAAAAAAAGCAAGTTTAGGGAAAGGAAGCAATTAGAGAGAGAGCATTCAAATTGATTCTCTTCCCTAGTCAGTTTAGAGTTGGCAGAAGAGAAGGCAAATGACATCCATGACCAGGTGTAAATATAAGGAGGCTGATTTTGGAAGATGGGTCCTTTGAGCCTTGTTTGGATGAGAATCCCTGAGATCACAAAAGGAAGCAGCTGGTAAGTTCCGGAAACCTTTTTTGTGAAAGCCCAGAATTTGAATAATGCACTAAATGAAGTGGAGTGCATATATTTAAATATTTATGGACAAATGGCTGTCATTTCTTAGCCTGCTCTGCCATGGTCCCATGACTTGGTACAATTGCTTTTAAATGATCATTTTCTAGATACTAGAAAAGCATCAAACAGAAGGAGATGAGAATTGCAGCAAACCAAACAAAGAAAAAGCAGAGGAGGCGATTATAAACAAAATACAGCCATCATAGCCAACTATATTTAAGGAGTTTTGAAAGCAGTGTAGTGTAGCAAGTAAGATGGATGAGTTTGGAACTGGACCGGAATTTAAATTCTATGTGTGATTTACTAGCTTTGTAGCCTTGGGTAAGTTACTCATCTTCTCTTGAAACCTCAATTCCTCATCTGTTTAGGGGGGATAATAATAGTACCCACATCACAGGGGTGTGGTGAGAATTAAATGAATTATTGGTTCTAGGTACCTGACACCCATAAGCTCTACCAGAGATCTGACACCCAGATCTCCAAGCTCAGGAACTTTGTTTTAGGGACTGAGACTATGTCAGGGAACAAAAAGCATGGTAGGTGCTCCATAAATACTGGCTGAATAACTGAATGAATGAATGTGTTTAGTCCAGTTTGAGTGTATAAATTGGATTATTTTATGAAATAAATTTAAAATGTTCATTTTAAACGAGTTAAGGTATAGGGAAAGACATACTGGGTGAAAATTTTGAGTGTGGCAGAGGTATATTTTTCAAATAAGTAGCCAGGAAAATGTTTGTCCTCTTATTTCTCACCAGGGACACAGAGTTTGGTTCCACTTGCTTCTCTGTGATCAAATGAATTGGGGGAGAATTTTTGTAACATTCTCCACAGCCTCCTCCTTTGCTCTCCTGAGCATAATGTTAAGAGATGCTGTAGGAGACAGACAAGCACATATTTACACTATTGATTATAAACACTGTTTTCTGCCATTTCCTTCCACATCATGACAGCTTAATTTCCCCCTTGTGACAGAAAGTAGGGGCTCGGAGGTTCCAGGTCCCAGAGTCTAACTGCATCGCTGTCCTCCCATTTGTAAGCAGGCCCCACCGAGGTCTCTTCTCAATGCTCTTGCCAAACTGAGGGCTGTTGGCTCTGCCCTGGGCTGTGGGCAGCATCTCCCTCTGCTCCCGGTGATCCAAGCCCTGGCACTGAGGGCATGGAAAGGGGTTGACGTTCTCTGCCTAGCCCTAGCCCCAAGTCATTTATCAGACACAATGATGAGCAAAATGCTGCCATTGGAGGAAGATGTACAAATTTGCCAAGGAAAGGAATGCAGTTCTGGGACCGCCTCGCTACAGGATTATGTAAATCATTCAGCAAAAGTGAAGTCAAAGTTATGAAAGTCAATTTCCATTTGTACCACAGCTAATTAGTCTAAGGAAAATGGTGACAGGATATTCAGCAACTTCTCAGGAGGTAGCCCTGGAAGGCAGGTCCAAAGGGAGAGTTTTAAACGTGCCTTTAAGGTGTTACATGCAGGCAGCGAATAGTTCTTGGTTTGTATCCGACATTATTCTAAGTGCTTGAGACTCACTCACATGAGGTCATTATTTTTTATTATTCCCTTTTTACAATGAGGAAACCGAGGCATAGAGAAGTTAAATAATTTGTTCAACTTTTAATGCTTGATTCTACATGTAAGGAAACTGAAGTGTGGGAAAACATAGAGCTCGTTCACTCAGCTGACGAGCAGGAATTCCCCCTTCAGTGTATGTGCACGAGGACCATTGCATCTTTTCCTCTGGGAGTGGGTTCCAGCCCCTTTTTACAGATGAAGCCTTCCTGCCAGGGGTTAGGGAGAGACGTTCCAGCTGCTGCCCCTTGCCATCTCGAAAGCCTGAAATTTGGGATGTCAGGACCTCAAATGGAGTCCCAGGAGAGGTTGAGTTATTTCTCATAAATTGCTTATTTAGGGGCAATAAAACAGTGTGGTTAATGAGTACATAAAAATGATTTTCTTTGAATTTGTCAAAGTTATATATATATATATATATATTATGCTAATGTAATAATTTAATTATTTCATGTGGGCCAGACACTTTTCATGGCAATTATGCATTCTTAATTTTTATAATAGGTATCTTCTACCTACAGTTTAAAATATTTTTTAATTTATTGATTTTAGAGAAAGAGAGGAAGACAGAGAGAGAAGGAGAGAGAGAGAGAGATTTGTTGTTCCACTCATTTATACATTCACTAGAGGCCCAGTGCACAAAATTCATGCACAGGTTGGGTCTCTAGCAGCTGCCAGCCATTGGCTTGGGGCTCCCTTCCTGTGGTTGGCCCACCAGCTCCACCCCTGGTTGAAATACCGGTCGAACTCCCGGTCCAGGGGACAATGTGCATATTAGGCTTTTATTATATAGGATTGGTTGCTTCTTGTATGGGCCCTGACCAGAGGTCAAACCCACAGCCTTAGCATATTGGGACAATGTTCTAACCAACTGAGCTACCTTATCTTATAGTTTAGATAAATCCTTCTAAACATGGAACCTGGGGTTTGGAGTAGGGGCAAGATAGAGATGAACCTTGAGGATGAAAAATTTAGCACCTAATGGTCTAGATTAAGAGAGATATGTTGGAAAAAACCAAGATGGCGGCATAGGTTAACGCTGGAGTTTGCTGCCTCGAACAACCACTTCAAAAATACAACTAAAAGACGGAACGGACATCATCCAGAACCACAGGAAGGCTGGCTGAGTGGATGTTCTACAACTAGGAGGAAAGAGAAAAGCATACCGAGGCTCAGAGGAGGCGCAGTGCTGAAGTAAAATACTAAGGTGCGGAGTG